CCCTGGAACATTTTTCCCTTATCCTCCGAGAGAGACAAGAGGCGGCAGTTTCAAATCTTTTGATCTAGAGTGGCTAAATCCGGCCTCCTGTCGGCGACAAGAAAGAAAGAAAGAAAGCAGCGCTGTAACTCTTTTTGTGTCGGCCGTCAATTTATTGCCCGAGATCCTGCTCGGCACAATGGCTTCCTTCTGTTCGCAATCATCAAATGAAATTGCAACAGCGCATTTTAAGACCCACTGCACTTTTCTATTGAAACACGCCTTTGTTTAGTTTTCCACGACTTTGAAAAGAAATATTTATTTAATAATGCATTTTCAAAACCAGTCCATATAAATTTAAAAAAATACTTGAGGTGGAAATGTCACAGGACAAAAAGTGGCGACCACTACAAATAAGAAGTCTTTTTTAATTTGAAATAGTTAAATTCAAGATGAAATTAGCTGAACTTCTATTTTAAATTAAATCTTCAAAGATTTGTTTGAACTCAGCCTCTCTAAGCTTTGCCGCTCGCATTATTAAGAACAGAAGAGTTTAGTTCAGAAAGGGTAGCTTTGAAGAAGTGATTGGTATGTAAATCTTTTTCTTTCTTAGCCACCAGTGATTTGATGTTAACGAGATTACGGCAGCGCTCCCCTTTTCGTCACACCATCAGCGGCAGATGGTAAAAGTGCGCCAACGGCGAATTACTCAGTCGCGCTATTAGAATATTAAACGAGGCTGCGCGGAATCGAAGAGTGGGTGCGGATGAGAATAATTAGATGGAAATTGGAGCAGACAAGTTGATCGTTGATCCAATTTCTTCGCGGCGAGCAAACGAGTTCGTTTTCTTCATGAAACAGAATAAAAAGGCAAAAGCTAGCAATGAAAATTTTGGCTGCACGCAAAGCCCCCTCGTTTTAATTCAATTTACACCTCTTGCGAGGGTAGAAAAATATTTAACCAGAGAGAATATCTGCAGCGCCCATGTCTGTTTTCTTTTGAAAAAAAAAAAATTGTTGTTGTTTTATTAGCAAACAGAATGCACAAGGGGATGCTCTGGGCAGCAAGCTAATTTATCCGCGCTCCAAAAACTTGGGGAGCGCTCCGGAATAAATTCCAATTCTTTGGCCTTTGAAACTTTGCACTTCATATTCAGGCGCTGAGGAAGGAAGTGAAACTTTGCATTTGAAGAAAGAGCGGCAGGCACTTTGTTTTTATTTTTATTGGCGAATTCATTATTCCCTCAAACACTTTGTACTACGGTTCACTTAAAATTCAGGCCAGCTCAAAGCCGACCGCGAACTTCTTCTGTCAAATACATATGAAACGGGCCGACGCCATTGTGGCCATCTTCATTTCCCCGAGACAGTTTGTTGTCAAGCGGGCTGCATTGTACAGAGTAAAATCGAAGCACTGTTTTATTTTTACAAAGCAAAGAGTTGAGACGTTTGTCGATTATTTGCTACAAAGTTAACTCTTTATAAAAAAAAAACAATATTAAAAGAAAATTAACAACAATTTAAAATGTATTCTAAATTAAATTATATGGAAGAAAATTGTTGAGAACAAGTAATTTTTTAATATCACTTCTTGGTATTAAATTAAGCCTCCAGCATATCTTTGATGGCGTTTGAATTATAAATAAAATATTATGATTTTCCTTATTTTTATATTTGGTAAAAACCTAAAAATCTTCATGAATATTTAATAGAAACGTTCAACGTTTATTTTTACCATTTGCATTTGTACTAAGTAAATAAACACGTACTTTGCTCGTGCCAACAACGCAGTAAACTTGGCGCTGAGGATCCATTTATTGTTAGATTAAGCACACCTTTGTGGAAGTTTTCCCTCATCCACCCTAGAACAACAGAGTCAACAAAAGTTGCGAAATCTTGAGTTGTGCGGGGTCGTCAGAGAGAAAGACAGTTTTTTGCAGTGGCGAGAAAAAATAAGCCGGCCACAAGAGGGCCGAGTACAGTTGAAAGGCCCTTGCAAGAACTTGTCTACATCTGCTTTATTTACAACTTGGTTACGGCGGTGAGAAGAAGAGAGGCTGCAGGGTGGATGCACGGCTGAGGGTGGGTGATGACGTTCTCAGCTCTTTCATACCTCGGGCAGGCATTTTGCTTTTACGAGAGGCCTCAGCTGAATCGGTGAGCGTGCGACCATTACAGGGACGCTATTTCTCTGTATTAGGAGCTGATTAGGGTGCAGCTGCTTTCGAGGGCCAATAATTATCATTACCCCGCGCAGGGAGGTCGCTTTTTGGCTCAATACCAGGCTCTCATTAAAACGAGAGGAAAATAAACACAAAATAAACCAGCAGCAAAATATAATTGGATGTGACCTTGTTAAAAGAAAATGAGATGCCAATTCATACTATGCAAATTTAAAAGTATATTATATACAAATTTTTATTATTTTACTGAAAAGGGAAAATACAATTATTTTTTTATTTTATTTAAATTCATTAATAAATTTAGAGGTCACGCTCGAGGTGGATTTCATGAAAAATTGAAACTGGGCGAATCCCATTGCAAAGAAAAAATGAAAAACAAAGTGGCTCCAAGGGCGACCTGCGGGCTGCAGGTACTTTAAAAACCTAGGATTTTGTCGCGTCCCAACTAAAACTAAGTGGAAGGAATTAATAAAAAAATTAAAAATGAAATAGGGAGATTTTATTTGAATAAACAAAAAATTGCAGAAATTAATAGAGCAAAGAGTCAGCCAACAGCCCAAAAATTAATTAAGAATTAAAATTTAATTCTGCATTTTTCATTACTTCCTCCCACTTAGTTTTAGTTTGGAGACTTTACAAAGTACCAGCAGGGAGCCATATGAGGTCAGTTGTCCTTTATTTTTCATCTTTTCTTTGCAAAGAGGTTAATCAGATTTCAATTTTTCATTGATAAATATATTTATTAAAGAAAAATTTATTACTTTTATTTGAAAATTTAACTTAAGAATCAAAATAATCGAAATTCAGATGTTTGCATATATGATCTTTTGACTAAGATTTGAGATGTATTTGTAATCATTTGTAATATCAAATGAAAATAATTTTAACAGTGAATTGACTAAAGCAAAAAATCAAATGAATGTACTTATTGCTATATAGGGATTTTTTTTTCATTGAAACATCTGGCATATATAATTTAATGCTTTTAAAGAAAGTAATATTGTATCATTATTAGATGTAATTTTAGCCATATTTTTATATGATAAACATGCATAGATGGGTGTTCGATGCATTTGTAAAATATTTCATTAGTTATAATTTCAAAGCAAATCCATTTTAATGGAAATCGTATAGAATATATGGTATGGAAATATCAATTCAATCTCACCAAATGAAATAGCGAAAACAAATAACTCCACAATCAAGATTCGTTACAAATGCTGTGCCATTCCACAAAGATATATTCAATCAGCGCTGCTAAAACAAACGAGTCAGGACGGCCGGACGGCTGGTGGCCTCAATTTGCGTCAAGAGCAGCACAAAAGCAATCAGAGTCGTGACAAACACAGCTGAATATAATCAAGTAAAGTGCACGTACGATTCCCGAGTATGATCTTTTCGAATATGCGAGAGCAGAAAATAATTTCTGGCCGGCTTCATTTCCATCCGCCAAATCCATGCAGTGCGGTGGCGGTCTTTTAAAACCGCACTGGCAAACAGAAATTATTTCAATCAACTGCAAATGTGGCAATCTGCCATTTCTGCTTCACATACTTTTCACCCTAGCAAAAGAGCGAGCGTTGACGGAGTTCGCCCTCCTCGGAGCCATCAAATTTAATATCCAGCTCGGCAGCTCGCGCGCGCAGCAACTTTTCGGTGGTGAAATGATATCCTCGCAGCATATGCAGAGTTGTAGAATTTAATGCGGCAAAGGGGTCGTCTGGTGTGACATTTAGTGCCTGGTTAAATCAAGTTTTATGCTAGCGACGCTGTCAAACAAGGGCAGAGTCGAAAGAAATTGGTGCTCTGCTCACGCAAATAAATCAATTAACGTGCCAATAAGGAGAATGGCACGTTGCTCTGACGACGAGCTCAGCATTGTGTGCCTCCAGCACGCGTTAAACAAAGCGGAGCGACGAATTGGATTAGTGATGCGAGGCGTTGATCCGAAGAGAACAAGTCAACCTAAAGCACCCAATCCTTTCTCATAATGGCAGCCAGCGACCTTAAGCCGAGCAGGCAAATGCAGAAAGTGAATCGTTCCGAATTTATCAAGATGCAAAATTTTGAAATTAAAATATAATTCTTAGGAATAAAATAGTCTAACTAATAATAAAATTTATCATTGGAATAATTATTATTTGAAAAAATTTTCAAAAAATTTTAACTTAAAATAAGGAACATAATTTTCTAATTAATAATATAATTTAGCGGAAAAAATTATTAAAACAAAAATTGCAAAACAAATTCAAATGAAAATATAATTCTTTCTTAGGAATATATTTTTGAAGAATAATAAAATTTATTAAAAAAAAAATTCAATTTAATTTACAATTTATTTTTAGAAATATAATTGTCTAACTAATAATAAAATTTATTGGAAAGTTGTTGTTTTTTGAAAAAAAAAAAAGATTATTTCAAATATAAGTTATGAATAATATTATAAATAGTAGGTTCTATTTGTGATTTAAATGAATAGGCTTGATTTTATTGAACTTGAGTTTGATTATGATGTTGTCCCGAGTACTAGCCATTGATGTGGAACAGTGAATTTGGTTGTGCATTTGAAACATTTTGGACGCGCAGTAATTGAGTGATTTGGTTTTATTTGAGCGTGCTCTGGTAATGCTAATACCTCTCATTCGGAATTGTTGACATTATGCAACCATGAACATGCGTAAATACAAATCCAAACAAAGAACGCTTTAGGCTTTACTGCATCACAAATTCCAATCAAAAACGCAAACAGCGACCAACAAAATATTTTTCCTGAAAAATGATCAGATTATTTATGCGAGATGGGATGCTGAATTATGCTCAACAAAAATAAGTGGGAATTCCATTTTTATTAATCTTTTTTTTACCAAATATACCAACACTATTTTGAAATTTCAATGTTGCTTACAGTCAAATGCTTTCAAATGATCTTTTCGCGCAATGGTGAATTATTAACTTCCGCCAGGAAATACCAAAACCGATTCAAGTTTTTTGCTTTTCGCGTTCCGAAAAGTGTACAAGTAAACACAGCAAATGAGAATGGAATCTCTCCTTCTTTTTATCCGTAAAGGACAGGGCTACAAAGTCATAAATGTATTCAGGTATATTTTACATTGTTGCAACTATACAGCAGGAGACTCCGGCAATTGAAGTTTGACATCTCAGTGATAATAAACACCATCCTTGAATATTATGTTTATTATGATCAATTTTTTTTTAATGCTTTAGTTATACATTTGGGGGTTGACAATCAGTATCTTTGCTTTTTTTACACCGGGGAAAGGAATTATTTGATTTTACTTTTATTTAGATTGATTTATTTAAAGTAGCTTTTTAACCATTTGTAACACGTCATTAAATTCATTCTCAGCCTCTTTTTAAATAACGCTTTACACATTTCTCTGATATTCAAAAATATCTGCCCCCGTGCAAGTCGACCCATCACTTCGTTAAAAATAGAGATATGCTGTACAGTAAAAATAACCACCAAGAATCACGTCTCATTCACTCTCGTCACACTGGTAACTGGTTTGCCATAAATATAAAACGTCAAGTTGTATGAATGTACAAATTGTTCGCATAATTTCGCACACTTTAAAAGGGCCATTCTATATTTACATAAATTTCGCACTAAAGACGAGAACAGTTCTCAAGGAGCCGAATTTATCGTGAGCATCGCAATTCATTTTCATTCACTAATTGAAAATAGGCAGTCCATTTTTTTTTTTAAATTTACTTCTTGGAGGCTTCCACAGGCGCCCCCGCTTTTTTATGTCATATTTCGGTTCCGTCCTCGCCGAAGCCTTCGTCGGGGCTCTCGTGTTGCGTGTTGGGCTGCCCGGTCACCATCGCGTTTATCGCGCTTTCAATTAAATTCTGCTGACTCTCGGAAGTCTTCGCCGAGCTCGATTGCGAATAGCCCGTCCAGGCTTTGTTCGGGCTAATTGGGGCGGCCGGCGATTCAGCTTTGATGCCGTCTGCGCTGCTTTCGGTGATGTCGGATTTGTACGCGGCAGGTGGGGAGGGAATGAAATTGTTGATGGGATCGGGGAAAGTTTCGTTCGGAGCGAAAACGGGCGGAGCGGAAGTCGGATAGCCTTCGACCGAGTATCGCACGTCCGTGGGGGTGTCCGCGTACGCCTCGTACACCGGCGCCGGCAAATACTCGGCTTCTCGGGGGTAGCTTTTTTTGTGGCCGCGTTTGTACGGAAGGGTTCGATAATAGGCAGCAGGGGGCGGAGGAGGAACTATGGACAGCGCGATGGGCGGCTGCGAGGACATTTTCGGCAGGCCGTAGTCCGCAGGGTATCCGTCCTGGTCGAGGAACCTTCCCGGGGAAAGGTGCACGTCGGCCGACAACTGATAGGCCTGCTCCGGTTTGGCGATCATCCTGCGAGGAAGGGTGGAAAAAGTGCTGGGCGGCGCGTGCTCGCGCATCGGCGTCAGCACTTTGAGAGGAAAACCAGCTTCATCTCGCCACGTGACTCCGGGTTTGCCCATTTTCTTAGGCTCGGCCGCCTCCAGAAATTCTTCTATCATGTTGTCCATCGCCTCTTGATAACTGTTGCCGCAGTTGTCTCGGTCCACCTCCTCGCCGTCGCCCTCCTCCCTCCGCCTGCCGCCCGCGGTCACCCTTTTGTCCTTGCCCACACTTTCAGTGTCGTTGATCAGGTCTGGATTTTGCTCTTGGTAGGCTCGATTGGGGCTGAGCTGGTAAGGGTCGAGGCGCCCAGGAACCTCGGCCGCGCCGCTTCGGATCAGCACTTCGTGGTGCCTCATCTGCACGTGCCGCTCCGTAATGATGGCGCCGTTCGATTTCGCTGGAACGGCCCCGGTGCTGATGAGCTTGTGCATTCGGGTAATCGCAATGTTCGCCTCAATTTCGTTGGATTTGTCCGCACCTTGCTCGGGCGACTGTAGCGCGACGGCCTTGCTGCGCTCTCTCTTGCGTTTGCGGCTTCGCTGGCGGCGACACCGAACCACGATCAAAACGAAAATAATGATCACCAGTATGCCGAGAACTGCGATGGCAGACACAACGGCGACCATGTACTCATAAGGGAGAACGACAGGAACGGCCACGTCTTCTCGCACGATAATCCGAATTGTAAAATTTGATTGCGATTTTCCGGCTGGATTTTCCGCCACGCAGATGAACGTGCCGTTGTCGTCGGTGTTAGTATTAAAAATAAATAATTCGCTTTTCTTGTCAACTGCTCCTTCCTCTATGTAATAATATAGGTGAACTCCGGGCGCGACCATGGTATCATTTTGTAAAACCCTTCCCTGAAACCACCAGGAAACTCGAGCCTCGGGAATGGCGGAAACTTGGCAGAGAAGGGAAACATTTTTGCCCTCTCCGATTTCGAGATACATGGTTGTCGGTGACACATCTGGTAAGCACGCGAAATCTTCCACATCCAGAGATTTAATTACCGCGTCCTGCAGCCTCTGCGGCGAGTTGCACTTTGGTTCGATAGACTGCGGAATGTTTTTGTAATTCAATAGCCACGCGTGCAGCTCTGTCAACTTGCAATCGCAATGCCACGGATTATTATCAAGAGCGACTCCGCGTAATGAGGCTGGTAACAGATACGATCCGCGAATGGTTGACAACTTATTATTATCAAGTTTCAGCCACTCTAGCCGTTCCAGGCCGTAAAACGCGTCATTCTCGATTGCCTCTATCTCGCATTTGCTCAGTTCCAGCGTTGTTAAAAAAGAGAGCGGCTGAAAAGATCGCGTGCGCAGCGTTTTAATTGGGTTTTCATTCACGGTGAGCCTCATTAAAAGCCGAAAGTCGCTGAAGGTCTCGGTCGGGATGCGAGTGAGCAGATTTTCGCTCAGATCAAGTTCGACTAAATTGGTCAACCCTTTAAACGACGTGTCGTCGATTTGAAACAGTTTGCATCTGGACAGGTAAATGCGCTGCAGGTTGACAAGATTGAGGCGCTCGAACCGTTCGCGTGGCAAAATCTGCAAATTGTTTCCGGCGAAATCGAGCACCTGCGTGCCCGCGTCCATGCCCTCGGGAATTGCGATCAGTCCTTTGTTGACGCACTCGACAGTTTGTTTGCCCCCCTTCCATTTGCACACGCACGCGGACGGACAGGCGACGCTGATGTGAAAACACCATTGCATGAGCAGGAAGGTGAGCCAGTGATGGTGCAGCAGCATTTTGCTTTTCATGCCACTCTTTTGAAATACATTTTTCCCGAATCGCACAATGATTTCACTTTTAAATTAGATCTGACGAAAACAGAAGGGCGCTTTCATTGTTCTCCACTCGCTGGGCGCAGCGATCCAATTTTTGGTTCGGCGCTGATGTCTACTGCATAAATTGCTCCTTCGATGGGGTGGCAGGAACAGCAGCGGCGACGGACAATCGTGCAGTCATGCGTGCGCTCCGGCCGAAAAGGTCAAACGGCGTGCGGTGTTCTGGAACAAAAAAGGAATTGGTCACAAAATATATATAAAATAAATAGTATTTTATTTTCAAGCATTCAAATTATCTTAAGTTACAATCATTCACATAAATTTATTTCATAAGCATAATTATCACCCCTTTTTGATAAACTCTAATTATCATTTAATTTTTCTCCGTTTGGGAAAATGATCAATCTGGTTTTTTATCAATTTTATAGTTTTAAAAACTGATTATCTGCTCAAATTATCATGTTTCAGATTATTGTAAATAATTCAGCATGTTGTTGAGGATAATTTGTTATAATTGTTGTTTATTTAAATATTGATTGTTGTCAAAAAACTAAAAAGAAAGAATTGCACATGAAAATAGTAAAATATATAATGCAATTATAAATATTGCATATTATATTTTTATAAATTATTAAATTCAAGTGATTATTTATGCTTTTCTAATTTCAATTTATGTTCATAATATTTTAAATAATTAAAATTATTCTATTATTTATGATTTTTCAAATATCATGTAATGTAAAAATTTATTAAAAAAAATATATTTAAAGAAAGTTTCAAGTTCGTCATTTTAACCACTTTTTTTCCGCAATACCTAGCGTAACTGAAACTAATAAACTTCTGAAAACTTTTGCTGGTGTTGACTGTAAACAGCAATGATTATTAATATGAAAGTTAACTCATATGTAAAATAATTCTTCTTTCTACACTGAACATATTGGTTAAAAAATATAAATTTAACCAGAATTACCAGATTGGCCATTTGTCCACGGACGCGACAAATTAATAAACTAGTGTCTTTAAGCCCAGTTTGCTTGTTTGAGGAAAACACCAAAATTATATCTATTGATGCTTCCAGCAGAAATCAATTATAAACTTCATCGGCACTCGACACCCAATCTCGGTTCTCATTAAAACTTTACGTTTCGAGACCACATAGCAATTATTGCTCTTCCGCAACCCGAAATTTCGAGAGGTCACACTAGAGGCTGTGGGCATTAGTAAGCGTCGTTATGGAAATTCAGACTTTTATTTTAACCCATATTGATCGCTTTCAAATCAATCTGAAATATGGACACAAAATCCTAACTAAATTTTATTTTAAGATGACGTACAGCATCTTTATAAAGTTACTTCTTTTTTCGAATGCGGCCAAAACTTTTTAGCACACTGCGTTCCAGAGATGTCTCGAAATTCACTAAGCCACGGGAGGAGAGCGAGATGTAACAAAGAGAGTTTTATATTCGCTGCTATGATGAAGTTCTTTGAATGGAACATGTTTTAACATTATGTGCAGCACCGCCATCGTCGTAACAAAAGTATTTAACTAAAAGCAAGATTACCATCTCTTTGGAGAGGCGGCTTTGTGAAAGGGAATGCGGCTTCGCTCTCTCTCATTCTCTCTCTCGCGCGCTCATAAAAGTGGTTGAGAGGTGTGCACTGAATTTTGCAGATCACATCTCTCGAGAACTTGTTAGCAAGCTCCAGTGATCAAACGCATTGCTCGAGTTATTTCTTATTCAGTTCATGTATCAAATGGCTTTGTACATTGATAAATGCAATCAAATACAAGCTCGGCGAGTAATTTTTAGTGCCGCAGCTTCCAGTCGTGGGGCGTCAGTGCCTTCGATAAACAAAAAGTGCCTGCTGGCGCACCGGGAGGAAAAGGGAAGCACGACTGCATGTTTGCCCGCTTTTTATTGTCAGCACTAAATCAAGCGGCAATGTCAGTTGGCTGTATTTTACCTTTTTATTGAGACGGCGACGAATTGTAAAAATTACAGGGCATTATGCGCACTGGAGCGTGCTGGGAACACCATCAGCGCCGCTTCTAAGGGATTGACCCTGCCCCCCGCTTGAGTGCGAGCGATAAAACATACAATACGACTGCTTTGGTCGCTAAAAGCATTCCAGCATTATGTTTACAGCACGCATCAATTGCCCAAGGAGAACAAATAATCAGACAAATAATAATAATGCCTAAAGGCTAATTTAAGTTCAGGTGCCACCTTTATTTTATTTTTATAATTTTTTAGATATTTGGAGAACTTAGTAATGAATCGTCAAAAATTAAATAAATTCACCCACATTAGATGCGTAAATTCTCAAAATAAATTTTTTAATCATCGAGTAAATGTGAAATATTCACGCTTTTCTTATGAAAAATCGAAAAAATCTAAATCCTGAAATTTTAATATTTTGATCCTACATGCTAGGATAATAGAAAAAGGTTCCAGCCTAATCGAAGGTGATGTAATATAAATTAAATGATATCATAAATTTTATAAAGTTACATTTTTTCGCAAAACAAATTTTTCCACAAAATTTGACATGAAATTCAACATATTAAAGAAAAAATAAATATGATTTCTTTAATAATTTTGGTCAGAAATTGATATGTTTGTTTTTAGCGTACCTTTTTCTCGGCGATGTCAATTTTTTTTTTTAAATATTTAATGTCAAATTTTTGTGTGATAAAATTTGTTTTGTGAAAAAATACAATATAAAAATTTTAAACATAAATATATTTTTATTAAATTTATTCGAGAATTAAAATTTTGTGTATCAAATTTGGAATTAGTGCAGACCTGGTTCAAAAATCGTATGGAACTGGTGCAGAAGCGGGTCTCGCTGTCCTGCATCAGTTCTACACCAGTTCTGCACCAGATCTGAACCAGGGGTCTAATTCTGTCAGATAGAATGGTTCAATTACCATAAATATATCATTTTCATGGATATATATTAATATATAAAATTTCATTAATTTTTCACAGAACATTTTTACTTTGAAAGAAAAATAATTTATAAAAAGATTTTTTTTTGTACTACATAATTCTTGTCAAAATGATTCCACAGCTCATGAATTATGGGTGCAGCCAAAGCATGTAGAGCGATATATTTTTTTCTTAACAACTCACAAAAACTCATCGAGGAGAAGAAGTCTACTCTAAAATCAAATTACCACGAAGCAACCCTCAATCGTGAATTTATGCTACAAAAACTCTAATATTAAGTTTATAAGTTGAAACTATATTAACGGTTCTCTGGGAACGTTTTTGAATTTTCCAAGTTTTTTCACGCAAAATCCGGCAAATAATGTGTAATTTTTACATTATTTTTCTTAAATAAATCCACGACTAATTAAAATTCAGGATTTTTTTAATACAATTAAAAAAAAAACTAATAATATATTTTTATTTCTATATATAAAAATGATAAATCAGTTCCACGCTTTAATAAGCATGAACTGTCTGCGAAATACATGACTGGCGGCAGGTGCATTTTAAAAGTTATTCTTCTTATGAGAAAAGTTGTGCTTAACTTTCTTTATACATTTCATGAAAATCATCAGCATACGCGAGAGGAGTGGCAAATGGAGTGTGAACGCGGCGGCTGCTCTCAAAGTATTTCAATTACTGTCACCACTCGGCTGAGTAGCCAAATAAAAATAATATTCATTTGAATTTATGGCTCGTTGCAGCAGCCGAGAGTTTGGTACGCGAGCCGAGAAAGTGGCCGAGAGCCCGGCCGGCGCCGCCTTTGCTGCCGCTTTTTCTCCAGGCAGTGTCGGCTGTCAGGGGATTGAAATGAACAATAGCTGGATGTGTCATTCGCACACACTGCAGCCCAGGCGTTATTATTTCTCCGAGTCTATGACAGCTCAAAGGCTTATTGCGGCTGAATTGATGATGCCTCCAGGTCTGCCTTTCTGCAAAGCCGCCAGACACGCCAAACCGCATCTGTCAAACTTCAATTTTTCTCCCGAAAAAAAAAACTGCCACTTTGGCTTTTACGACGATTCAAACGGCAAAAAAATTAACTCCGAGTTTAAAACATTGGGCGAATTTCTGCACCGCACCAATATAACGACCGAACCACTCCAGTGGTTTTGGCCCCTCCGCACATAGGAAGTGCTTACGAAGCACAATAACTTCTCTGGTGCCAGGAAAACAAGGAAGCAAAAGAAAAAGGCTTCTTTTATTGTCTTCATTCCAAAATATAATGGCCATAAAGACATTATGGTGGTGGTCCAATTCAAAATAATGCGACCGCCTAGATGAATATCTCTCGTAGTTCTGCTTTTCTCTTGTAACTGATTTGTAATGGGGGACTAAATGACGCTGGACTCCCTTATAATGCTATTCGGTGGTTTTAATTTTGCATTTGCGTCATAAAAATTTGATTCAGTTAGTTCGGTGCATTATCTAAGCATTTCAAAGGGCAAGGAAACTGAAAAGAAAGTGGCAAAAGGGGCCATCATATTGATTGCAGCTAAAATTTTATTGCGCGTCGTCGTTCTTTTTTTTTCTCTCTCTCCCCCGCATTTAGTTTCTTTTCACCCCAGTGGCTCCACGGGAGCGGAGTAACCGGAGAAGGAAAGTCGGCTGTGAAAAGATGTGAGCTGCTGGGGCTGCTGCCATCCTCGCATATAAAATGCAAAGTCAACTGTGAATGGTAGTGTTTGTTTTCCAGGCACTGCATTAGCAAGCAAAGCTCCTAGAAATTCCCTCTGACTTTTCTCCCTCAGATTTTCTTAACGTGACAAAAAATGTTCTGCTCTCTTTTAGCCTGACTTTGCATTTTAATTTACCAATTTTTAAAGGTCTCCATGGAATAACTATTTAATCAGCTAGACGAGGGGACTGGAATTATACCAATTTCCAAGCGCACCGCATCGTTGCTATCATCATCAACGTAGATACTCAAGCGGCCGTAACCGTTTAATTTTATGCAAACAGCAGAATCATATTTGGCGAGAGGGCCCGCGGGCTGAGCGTGCAATATTGGCTGCGCAGGCAACCCTCATCGCATCGCCGAAGGAGCGTGTTTGCAGCCAGCATTCCATCTTTTCATTATTTCGCGCCATCGACTCGCATTTTTATGAATGCGATTTGTGCTGATCGGTGCTGATTTTCGCACCTCATCACCGCCACAAGCGGCAAAATCAAACGCCCTCGCGTTGATTGGCTCGATCGCAGGGGCTCAAGCACAACCCTTTAAAA